AAGATGGCGGCGTGCCTATACCGGCGTGTGACGTCACCTGGTGCTGCGCACATGCGGCATCATGTGGCATCACACGCACCCCGCCTCCAAGATGGCAGCGCAGAATGCGCCGTGGCCAATAAGGCCACCACGCGTTCTCAAGCGAATTATTATATGCCCGAATAGTTTTCCATGTATCCGGGCATATAATAATTTGTTAATTTGGATTCAGACAAACCGCCAAATCAACGGAATTTCGTTGATTTGCAGGTTTGTTGGAATCCGAATGCACAAGTCTACATATTATACACGTGCAACATTGTGCACTATGCACTTTGTATAAGTAAACCGTATGCCCTATTTAACATGTAGTCTAGGTTTTGTGTTGTTTTTTGTTTTTACTTTTCTAGATGCACTTACTTGAAAAAAGGTTCTGCATGACAACCTGACACTTTAACAAAGTGTCTTAACAAAATGGGAGGCTTTAAATGGTGCAGGTATTGGAGAAATGGGTGTGGTCACTGAGGTGTGTAGTTACTGAGGGGCACTGTAAAGCTTTCTCGCACAGGGCACCTAAAGGCTTAAGGCCGGCACTGGCCACATACAGCTGAAATTTACAGTATTGGGGGCTTGAACTGAGCCAAATTTACAATTACAAATTTACAATTTATTATACCAATAACATCACCATTTGACATTTTGAGAAAGATGTATATCAGACCTAAAAGCACAGGCGATCTGGCAGGACAGGTAGACACTTGGGGATTTATTTAAAAATGTTTTCAGACAACTTTCACGCTAGATTTACATGATTTCCCACTGGAATCCAATGAGCAAAATGTGTGAATTTTGCGCTTTAACATTGACCAGTGTGGCCCCCTTTACTTTCTGATGCACAAAGGAGTGGGTGCCTGTGCTGATGGACATTTGTTCACTTAAATTGACACCATAACAACCTTAAAAATGTATTCAAGTACCTTAACTATTAACAAAAATGTATCTTATTTGTGTATCACTCGGCTGTAGATCCTCAAATCCTCTCTGAATTGGTGCTGACACTGTCCTTCCTTCTGGAGGGTGGCTACTTTTCTTCCTCATGGTCCCTAAGTGTGTTGTAAAGTAGTCACCGCTCCAAGCTCACTGCTGTGATGGACTACAATTTCATGTATAGTTTACTAATTTTTGTTGAGATTATAATCCATTTTAAGGCTCGTTTTCACCTTTTTTTCAGTTGTCCAATGAAAAGCAATCTCAGCTGCAAAAACGTGCTAAAAAAGCGTGAAAAATGCATTGATGAGCACGTTTTTATTGAAGTCTATGGAGCAAAACAAACTGATAAGTGCCACACAAAAGAAGCTCAGGGACTATTTTAAAGAACAGGCATATTCTTAAACGCATTTGCATGAAAGGCCCGTATAGGAATAGATGGGATTTTAATTTGCATGCGTTTTGTAGAAAACAATTTGCAACAAAACACCCTGGTGTGAACAGGGCCTTAGTTTGATTGCATTTAAACTTTACAAGGCAATGCCACTCACTTTATGGGTGCACAGTTTGTGTAAGGATGTTTAGGTTTTGGAACTCAAGGTCATGGACAATTACTGGTTGAATTTGACGTGTTTTCTTGTTAAAGGTAAGTTCACCTTTTGCAAAAATTTAAGAAATGCATAATTAATAATATATATACAGTATATATATATATATAAATAAATATGCATTTCTTTAATTTTTGCATTCAAGCCTGGAAAGTAGGGATGCACCGATACTTTTCAGATACCAGTGCCGATACTTGGCATGTTCATGAGAACTACCAGGGTTGCAACGTTTGGAGCCGGGACCTGGCTCTGGCGCTCCACCACTGTCCTGAAATCATTCGAATGTATTGTTTTAGAAAAACTGTCACTTGACAATAAACAAAAATGTATCAGTACTCGCACTTGTAAGGCCCGGTTCACACCTGGGCGTTTTGTAGCGCGTTCGAACGCTCTGCAAAACGCTCAAACACCAAAATCCCATTATTTCCTATGGGTATGGTTCATACCTGGGCGTATTACAGGCCGTATGAACGCGCTACAAAACTTCCTACGCCCAAAGAAGTACAGGAGCTTCTTTGGGGCGTTTTTGTCGTGCGTTTCCATTGGGATACAGCCAAGTAGCCCTCGGAAACGCGCGTTTGTCGCACGGTTTTTAACCGCGAATCGCGGTAAAAACGCATGTAATGAAACACGCGACAAACGCGCATATTCGATACGCCCAGGTGTGAACCCAGCGTAAGTAGAGGTGCACCGATATGGAAATTTCAAAACCTAAATTTTAAAAAAATGTCAGGCCGAAACCGAAATTTTTTCAAATATTTTTTTTATAAACTTTTTAATGTTTTTAATATTTATTTATTCATGTTTTTATTAAATATTTTTTATTTTACTTTTAGGGGCTTCAGGGAAGTATTTCTGGTCTAAACAGACCCCTGATATTTCCCTTTTAAAATAGAAAAAGAGATCACAGAGAACACAGAGTCCTCAATCTCTTTTTCTACAGCCCCTGTTATCAATGCACAGGAATCCTCTATACTGAGTGTTCCTATTCATTCATAACATGAGAACAGAGTATGATTACTATATCCACAATCATGAATGAACAGGAGGGATGTAGATCACTTCCCATTCATTCATGATTAAGCATATAGTAAACATACCATGTCCTCAATTATGTACAAACACCCATCAGCGATCACAAACCGCTGAGTGTTTGCATTGGCTCTCCTTTCTGACAGCTGTCACAGGAGGCTGGGCGGGGCCGGTGCAGAGAGGAGAGCTCAGCCTCCTGTGACAGTGCGAGCTGTCTCCGCCCACATGCCGCTCTCCCGGACTATGACAGGAGGCTGAGCGGTGTCGGAGGAGAGACGCCGGCCGCTTACAGAGCTCTCCTCCCGCAGCGCTCGGCCGCCTGTGACAGTTTCTCTCCTCACCACTGGGACACAGAGCAGCACCCAGCGGGGAGGAAAGAAAGCAGGGATGCGCCGCTGTATCGGCAGCAAAAATGGCACTTTTGGGATTATGCCAAAAATGCAATTTTTGGCCGATATGTTTTGGCGGCCGATATATCGGTGCATCGGTGCTTGGGCAAGTATCAGTACTTGTACTTGCAAAAAATGGCATCGGTGCATCCCTATATTTATATTTATGAACACAAAATCATACATTAAAACAGAGATGTACTAATCCCAGGTGCTCCTTAAAAATGACAGCTGCCTCCTAACTTTTGAATTTTTCTCTAGTCCAGTCTTGGAGCTCGAAAAGTATTTGTACTTGTACTTGTGCCGTCCTCCCCCCATCTCTCCTAACTGAAACTCTGTACCTCTGTATGAGCTCTGCCTGGGAGGGAAAGTGCTGAAGCCTAAGCTTTGTAGCTGTGATCGAGTGATCACCGTTGCAATGCTTTCCAGGCTTGAATGCAAATATTAAAGAAATGCATATTTTTATATATATATTATTAATTATGCATTTCTTAAATTTTTGCAAAAGGTGAACTTCTCCTTTAATACATTTTATTTTAAAGTGAAACAATTCCCCTCCTCACACACACACAAAGTTGCTCGCAGGCAGGCTTTCTTATTGCAGAAGAGACACACTGGGGAGAATTAATAAAAAGTGTCAACCGTTGTCTCCACTAGAGCGTAGCCAATCAGCTTTTACATTTTCATTTTCTAAGCGGTGTGGAAAACAGAAGCTAAATAGAAGCTGATTTGTTGCTGTGAGCAACTGCATCAGTTGTGATAAAACTTATCTCAGCCACTTTGTATCATTTTGTCCCTCAATAACAGGGCTAGCTAAACTCCGGCCCTCCAGCTGTGGTGGAACTACAAATCCCGTGAGGCAGTGCAAGATTCTCACAGCCACAGACATAACTCCCTGAAAGAGATGCATCATGGGATTTGTAGTTTCACCACAGCTGGAGGGCCGGAGTTTGGCTACCCTTGCTCTATAAAATATTCTTGGTGACATTGCACATTGAGCTGAGCATGAGCAGCACAGTATAGAGTTTCGCCATATGCCAAGATTAGTGATGACCCTGGGCTTAGTGTGAACCCATTTCGCCCAAGCCACTTAAAACTGGGACCGTCACCTTTCCCTCCCGGCCCACTCAATTGCGGTGAGGGAATTCCCCGCCCTGCATCTATATGTCACAATGGGGCTTGGAATTCCCTCTCTGCCAGTGATTGGGCCGAGAGGGGTGTGTGTTGGCCACAGGTTTAAGCGGGTTTGGGTGAACTGGGTTAACACCATGCTCCAGCTCATCACTAGCCAGGATGAACTTCTATGCGGATGCCTGTGTCATGTGATCCTGGCACAGCCAATCAACATGGCTGCAGATCCCAAACCTGGAAAAAGACCGGGGGGAAAGATGTTGGCACTGGCCTAGGGAGCATGTGGAGGAGAGGTGCGTATAGTTCCGCTTTTCAGAAAAGTTCAAAATTAATTTATCTAAACCCTATAAAGGAGCCATGGCCTGTCATTTCCCCACACTCTGCTGTCATATGTTTACTTTTTTTATGTCAGTGGGCATATGAGAGGTACAATCCCATTGCACAGTAATAAGCAGTGTCCTGTATCCCAGCTTTATACTGTAGTATACTCAGGACATGAGGAACCAAAGCCAACGCATGGCCGGTGTGGCAGGAAAGGGGGACACCGAGACTATGGTACCTGCCAGTGTCATGCACTGTGCAAGAACACAGCCTATTGGTCTGTGGAGAAGAGGCCATATTAAGCCGCCTGATGATAACCCAGCCCACCCTGGGTGAGCGAGTTCGGCAGCGCACGGCTCACGTTGATTATGGCTGATACAGGGGCGGAGGAGAAGAAGGAGGAGGAGGAAGCCGGGGCTGGAGGTAGGGGTAGCCCATGCTGTGATAGCGGGAGCCCCTGGCAGACACGTCCCGTCGCCTCCTCCTCCTCCTCCACGCACTCACTAAACCGAGCTGCGCACTTCTCCCAGATCACCAGCCGGGGGCTCAGCCGGGCAGCCAATCAGCGCCGCGAACACAGATATGCAAATGAGGCGGGGGAAGAGCTCACGCTTGTCGTAAGGGGTTGGAGGGGCCGCTTTATCAGCACTGGGAAACTTGGCCTGATAGAGCTGCAGGGAGAGACCCCCTCCCGCATCCATATCCCTTCTCCTGGGGGGAATCGATAACTAGGATCGATCCATCGGTGATCAGCGCTGGGGAGGGGGTCCCCGTCTACATCTCCGCCCCGTATGTTGGTGTCTCGGGCGGGATCCCGGGTAAGATGACATGTGGCTTGGGGTTGGAAAGGGTGGCATGGTGACAACGGGTGCTGGTGACCCCGGCCTGAGCTCTGACTTCTGATGTCTTGGCAGGTGGACGAGGGGCTTACGTATACTGGCGTGGGGGAGGTGTCCTGTACTCCTAGTGCCGGCAGTCGGCATGTGGCCTTAGACTCGCTGGGGATCAGCTGTGTGCACGTTGCTGGGCTTTGCTTGTCTGTGCAGATCTGGGACTTATAAGGCCAAAAGGTGACATCAGGCATTGTGTGTGATGGCTAGGCACTGTGGACATGGCCAGGTAACTCACCTGCAATTCTCTTCTCAGCTGTGGTGGGTGAATGTGCTACAGATATAGGCATGACACCGCTCCTCCTACATGTAGATGCAGGGTCATGTCTGTATGTGACACCATGACACCTCTCCTCTACATGTAGATGTGGGGTCATGTCTGTATGTGACACCATGACACCTCTCTACATGTAGATGTGGGGTCATGTCTGTATGTGACATGATGAGACAGCTCCTCCTACATTTAGATGCGGGGTCATGTCTGTATGTGACACATTGACACTGCTCCTCTACATGTAGATGTGGGGTCATGTCTGTATGTGACATGGTGACACTGCTCCTCTACATGTAGATGCGAGGTTATGTCTGCATGTGACACCTTCACACTGCTCCTCTACATGTAGGTGTGGGGTCATGTCTGTATGTGACATGATGACACCTCTCCTCTACATGTAGATGTGGGGCCATGTCTGTATGTGACACCATGACACTGCTCTTCTACATTTAGATGCGGGGTCATGTCTGTATGTGACACGATGACATCTCTCCTCTACATGTAGATTTGGGTCGTGTCTGTATGTGAAAGGTTGACACCGCTCCTCTACATGTCGATGCCGGGTCATATCTGTATGTGACAGCATGACACCGCTCCTCTACATGTAGATATGGGGTCATGTCTGTATGTGACATGATGAGACAGCTACTTCTACATGTAGCTATGGGGTCATGTCTTCATGTGACATGTTGAAACAGATCTTTTACATGTAGGCATGAGTGATGTGGGGTCATGGCTGTATGTGACATGGTGACCCTGGTCCTTTACACAGACAAGATTGATGTGAGCTCATGTCTGTATTTGACACAGTGACACCGGCCCTCAAAAGTAGACCTGGGTGATGTAGGGGCCTGTCAGTGTGTTGCATGATGACACGGGTCCTTTACACATAGACATGGGTGAGGTGTGCTTATGTCTGTATGTGACATGGTGACACTGGTCATTTACACATAGTCATGGGTGATGTGAGCTCATGTCTTTGTGTGACATGGTGGCACCGGTCCTCTACATGTAGACATGGGTGATGTAGGGTCATGTCTGTATGCGACATGGTGACCTCGGTCCTTTTACAGATAGACATGGGTGATATGGGCTCATGCATGTGTGTGGCATGGTGACACCAGTCCTTTACATGTAGACATGGGTGATTGGGCTCATGTATGTGTGTGACATGGGGACCTCGGTCCTTTACAGATAGACATGTACCCCATAACCGTGCCCGGTCTGACCGAGTTTACTAAAGCTTAAACCCTAGACGGCGTTTTATACCAAAATGGCGGATCCGTCCGCTACTGGAAAGAGGTGGTGGCTCTGTTTCTGGGTTTTGAGTCAGCGTGTCTGCGGCAGTGAGGTCAGCCCTGGCACAAGAAAGATTGTGTGTTGAGTCACCACAGTCGCTCTCACTCCAGACGTGTGTTATGTAATGAAGTATTTACATGGCGACTTGTGTGTAGGAGAGCTGACCAGTATGACACATCCAGTCAGATCATGTCAGAGAATGTGGTCACTCTATAGATGTGCTGACAATGCATTGGTCTGGATTGGCTGGACCTGTGACTGGTGTTTTTCCTGTTATTGACATGTAGGGAATATCTAAACCTAAAAACATAGATGTCATATCCTGCCGTGTATCAGACCTGCCTTGTGGCGGCTGCATTCGTTTTCATTTTTCAGGCTTTTTTCTCTTTATTTATAACTAATTACTCTGCCAAAAATGACAAAAATATGTAATATTGCAGCATACTCGTCCTCAGATATGGTGACTACATTCGTTTTGATGTTTTTTCTTTAGGCTTTTATTATCCCCTGGTAAACCTTCCAGAAACACACTTCCTGTCATAGGGTGACCACGCTCATTCTTTGTACTGTATCGGGAGAAGCAGTGTTGCCACCCAAGGACAGGACACCCAGCCTCTCATCTCCATACGTAGGGGGGCGGTTGTCTGTGGTCATAACACACTTGCTGCTCTAGGGTGACAAATCTCATTCGCTCAGCTCCTTCATACAATCATGTTAATGGGGGAGCAGTGTTGTCACGCCTGGACAGGAAGTGTGTTAAATCAGAACTCTAAGGACATTTTTTCTTAACCCTTGCAGTGGGGCTATTTTCTCATTTTGGTCTAGGGAGGAAATTAACAATGTCGTACTCACTTGTTCCTCGGAGCCAGCTGCCTCCTCCTCTGCAGTGATGGTATGTTCCTCGGCATCCTCATGTTCTATAGATTGTTTATAGACATGATGACTCAGGGATCATAGACTCCGCTGCCGCGGAAGGGGAGAGAGGCTCCTGGGACCGGTCTAAGAGCAAGACGGCTCAGAGGATCAGGGGAGTATAACTTTGTTGTTTACCGCCTTACACCAAATTGTACTTTTAGTTGGTCAGCGCAGTCAGGTGACAGCACTAGCCAATGAGTGCTTGCCATTTGCGAATGAATTTCACAATACAGAGCGCAGGGTTGCACTGCCATGTACGGAGTATGAATAATACACCTGCATCGGCAGAGGGGAAGGAACGTTTAGTCAAAGGTGAGTATAATGGGGGGCCAGATTGGAGGGGGTAACTCCATTTTCCCAAATTCGCTTGAGAAAGTGGAATTACCCTTTAAGACCACAGAAAACCTTCCCCCTATGGTGATGAGATAAGGGGGGGCGTGACCTGTAATCCTGCCTAGGGTGACCATACTGCTCCTTTCTAAATAAAGGGAGTGTGTGTTGTCACCCTTGGAAAGGAAGTGCATCTCTGGAAGGTTTACCAGGAGAAAAGTAGCCTGAAAAAATAAAACAAATGCAGTCTCCAAACCATATGTAAGGGCGGGTATGCTCCAATATTGTACGCTTTTGTTCTTTAGTTTAAATAGTACTGGGAACCAGTGACTGCTGATCCAGTAAAAGTAGTTCACATTTGAAATCCTAACGGCAGGAAAGACGGTCTGATTGACCTGACCAATAGATCTCAAATCATCTCTACTAACTATACCAGGGGTGGGCAACTCCAAACCTCCAGCTGTGCTTCAACTACAAATCCCTTCATGTCTCTGGGAGTCATGCGGTAACTTTCAGGCTTGCAATGCCTCGTGGGATTTGTAGTTCCACAACGGCTGGAGGGCCTGAGTTGCCCACCCCTGAACTGTGAAGTAAAAACAAAGCCAACCGGCTAGCTTTTTATGACAGAAGTGGCTGTGTACGTCTCTTCTGTCATAAAAGCTTCTAGCTGCCGGTTAGCAATGTCTTTTTCTTGTATACTGAGCTGTGCATGCTCTGGCATCATTTCATGGGGCCCAGCCAATCAAGCAGCTGAAGAATCAGATGACCAGGACAAAGATGGATGGAGAGCAAAGTCCACTCTCACCTGTCTGTGCGCCTGAGAGCCACGCTTTTCAGCTTACAAAGAGTTGCGTAGCCGCTGTTGCAAGCTCTCTGATGTGCCGATTGCAGGGGCAGGCAAAATCTGGCCCTCCAGCTGTTGTGGAACTACAAATCCCATGAGACATTGCAAGATCCTCAGGCATGACTCTGAGACAGATGCATCATGGGATTTGTAGTTTCACCAAAGCTGGGGGGCCGGAGTTTGCTCACCCCTGGTCTGTTGCTTCTTCTTGACATGCAGGGAACGAATCCATCCATTCTTATGAGTAGGCTGTCTTTCACATCTCTTTCTAGGAATGGATGGGATTATTCCGCACATGTGCAGAAGAGCCGAGGGTACGGTCAGAAGGTTTGCCGACGTGGCTGTACAGCACCATGTTGACAGCGTGGGAGCATGGACAGATGACTGTTAAGCTGGGTATAAACTAGATTTCATCTAACTTTCAGGGCCGGTTCACATCATAAACAGTGAGTTCCAAAGTGGTCAGCCTCTGGAATGCACTGTATCGCAGCTGGCTTCCTGCAGGAGGGGGCGTGGCGGTTCATTGAAGTCAATGGCACCGCGGCCATTCCCCCCCCCCGTCTGCAGTGCAAACGCCAGCACCCGTGGCACATCAGTGCCTGTGGCCGGTCCGGTGCGATCTGAAAAAATGCTACACGCACTATTTTTTTGGGATGGCACTGGACCGGAATGGAGGCACTGATGTGCCAATGCAGGCGGGTGAGCGTGTGGCTGTGGTGCCATTGACTTCTGAATGCACCACCACACCCCTGAAGGCAGTAAGGTGGCCGGAATGTGATACAATGCATTTCACAGGCTGACCGCTCTGGAACGCACAGTTTATGGAGGGAATTGGCCCTCGGGATGGACAAAAAATAATCTTACAGAGATTCCTCCATCCACAGTAAACAGTGCAGATGGAAGGACCTCCCACTAGGGCTGTTGCATTTTGACAGTCGGCCCATCAGGCTGTCAAAATAACCGCCTTGAATGCAGGTGCCGTTCAACAACCATTTTCCTCCCGGATGTCCGATTGGAGGCATTATATAGCCGGCTCTAAGATTGTGGTGTGGAGCTTTTTAAATGCAAACCTTGCAGAGGTCAATGTTCTTGAAAGTGTTGCATTTACCTCCTGGCTTCTGTACTCCATCACTGAGTCGATAAATGTTTGTAGATTGGGGATATCGAAGTCCTTGTCCGCATACTTGTGCTGGGTTAGTGTTCGTACTAAATCAAGAGGGTAACGTGACAGCCAGGCAGTTGGTATTTGCAAAATGCGGTGTCAGC